CCATGCTAAGTATCCGACACACGTGCGGTTATGCCTCATGACAGCCGTACCAGGTTAGACTGCTGTTCCCTCCATTTTGCAGGAAACTGAGGTTCAGATAAGGCAAATTTAGAAATCTGTCCTGAGTCACACAGCAAGCGGTGGAATAAGGCTCAATCCTAAGACTGCGGCTGAGCCTGTGCCACCATGTTATGTGTACTTAATATTCTCCTACAGATGTAGTTGTGATTTTTAACAACCTAAATGATAGACTGTCAGAAGCTTGTGCAGTATTTAATACAAAACTGTCTCTTTAGATACCAAAGTTCAGTTCAGTCCTAGAATCCCAGAATCTATCTTTGAGAGCTCTCTGAAGGCTAGACTAGTGCTCACCCCCCTGACATCCATTTACCTCTTGCGTGATGGATGCTCGGACACTTCTAAATTGTTAGAATGTTCTTCCTTGAATTAAGCTGGACTCTTCCCTCCCTGTAATTTTTTTCCCGTTTGTGCCATTTAGAGTAATGCAGAATAAGTTCCATCTTTTACTTTTCTACATGACAGTGAAGATGTTTGAAGGATGCTTTTGAGTCCTTTTTAAGTAATCTTATTCCCAATGGTTTGTGATTAATTCAGAGTAAAATGGGACTGGTAAGAGTCTTGATCCAAAGGTATACTTTTATGCTAATTACATGAGCCTGAAGTTTGTTTTTTGTTATTAGTATCTTCATTACATTATTCTCTCTCATAGGCTTGTGTATCTTCAAATGCTAAGGCTCCCACTGTGTGTGTGTGTGTGTGTGAGAGAGAGCGCGGGAGAGTGCGCCAATATGCTAATTGGCATATATTATACTATATATATGCCATATACTATATATGGCATATATAATACTATACTTAGTATTGCCTTTAGACAATTTATTCCTATTATACTTTTTCTTTCTGTTTGAGACTCACTATTTCTGCTTAAGATAATTTAGAAACCTGATTCTGTTAATCCATTACATTAGCTGTCCTTCCTAGCTCTGTGTTAGGTGCACATTGAGTATCGTACAAATATTTGTAAAAATGTTACTAATACAGACCAGAAAGAGAGGACCTTATAGGATAGGATAGATTTCTCCAGTTTATTTTGGGTCATTTATCCATGTGCCATTTCTGGTTTTTCAGCTAGCTCTGGATTTACCTAATTCTGTTTTCCAGCCACATTTCTTTTTATTATTCATAAAGCTTTCATGAGGAACTTTCAGAACTCTCCTGGAATCAAGTTATCCTTCACTTGGTATTCTTCATTCTGCCAGGATTTGGCAGTCAGTTAATTGTGGGAATAAGGGACAGGAAGGGGACCAGAGTAACAGATATTCTAGATCGGAAGATGGGAAAGTGTGGTGGATAGCACCATTCTCTGAGATCTGGAGCCCTGGGGGAAGCACTGGTTTGGGATTGAGTTCAGCTTGAGTCATGTCGAGCCCCTGGGGCCTCCCAGATGCCCCTAAGGAGCCGTCCAGAAGGAGCGCGACCACCCAGGACTGGCATGCTGCGGGATAGCGAGCTTTGGTCACACACAACAGGAACAGGAGCTGTGTTAACGACTTGGGCATACACCCAGGCAGAGCCAGCAGAGTGCAAAGAGGAGGTTCCGGGTTGGGGCAGGGGAGATGGTAGACATTGCAGCAGGAGCGGCTTCATGCTCAACAGCCTCCATTTTTTGGTGAAATAGGAAGGAACCATATCTATTACGAGAGAGAGAGAGAGAGAGAAAGAGAGAGAGAGAGAGAGAACTGAAGATTTAAGTGCAGTGAGTGTTTGGAACAATGTGGGAAATAGGAAAGGGAACTCAATGAAGGACGGGCGGACTGAGGGAGGGGATGCTAAACACAAGGAAGCTTTCTTCCCAGCTTCCCCCTTCCTTGCTGCTTCCATATGAGACCTTTTCCTCTTTGTTTTAACATTTTTACTGCTGATCACTACAGCAGTGGTTCGTGGTGTGTCCAAATGGGAAGGAGTGCAGTTCTGTATGCGTCTGGAGGTGGCACACTTCATAGGGAAGCCCTTGAATTACAAGGGAATAACGAACGTAGGGAATGAGAGTAATCGTTGTGTTCCCAGGTCGGTAGTTCTTGACTCAGCTGGTGGAACTGGGTCCTGCACTTCAGCCTTAAAGGGTCTTGTCGGGACTTAAGTAGAAGAGAAGATGCCCTGTTGGTTTGCACTGAATACCTTCCGCTATGTCCTCGCCTTTTTGTGTCTTCTCTGTTGGATGTTTATTTCATGGAAAGCAGGGAACACCCCCTTAGCACCCTGAGCGTGGCACTTTATGTGCCAGTGATCAGTTCCTTTACTTCCCTATTGGCCCATAAGCATGTCCCTTTTTGTATTCGAGTCCTGGCACAGGGCTTGGCTGGTGGGCATGTGACAGATGTCCGATGAACTGCTGGCTGAAGTGAGGGCTGAGTCAGTTTGGCTGTGCTATTTCCAGTGGCCCTGCCTCTGGGAGTCCTCCTGCAGGAGGGCTCTTATAAGCTGATGGTGGAGAGGTGTGCTTCAAACCTTCTCATGTTTCTCTTCTGCTAAGAAACCAGCTTGAATGGAAGTTTAATGGAAACCATCTTGAGAGAGAATGTTCAAACATCATTGCATTCAGGAGGCCTCTGGAAGTTTCCCTGGCGTGAACTGAGAGGGGCTAATTACATTGTAAAGTTCATGTCCAGACACTCCCCTTGTAAATTGTCACAGAAATATCTCCCACTTCTGTTCTGGCTGTTCCTTCCTAGCATAGAATCTCAGCCTTCTGCCAGCTCCTAGCCACACATAGAGGTTTATGGACCAGGTCTAATACTTTTCTCCTTTGATTGTGTATTCTTCTACTCAGTAATCTCCACTCTCTCAAAGGTTCTTAATCTATGTCAGTAATTAGTGTTGTTTGGCTTTGTCCATTTCCCCCTTTTCTTGCCTGATTCAGTGAATGAACAGAGGTACTTGCTGTCTACCAGAAGCCTTGGTTTTCTGGGGGAAATTGATAAAAAAAAAAATCCCTAGATTTGTCCTTGATTTGGCATGACTGATGAAGCAGCAGCTGCTTAATAAGAAGCAAAGCTGAGAGTAGAACAATTTAATTAGCTTCTGTCTGTCGAGCCTTTAATAGAAGCCACAACTGGACTACATGGAGCTCTTTAGTTTTAAATGAAACATTTTTGTGAAGGGAGACTCTCAACATATCCCTCAAAGACCCCAGTTAAGTGAAAGGAAACCTATTAAAAATATAAAATAGCCAGTATAACAAATACGTAATACAAACTAGCTGTTTTAGGAGGTGGGAATTTCTTCATGGTGAGTTGTTTGAGTGCTCTTTTTTTTTTTTTTTAATGGTTATGTGAACAATTTATAAAATGGATAATGTTTAATACCTACTATGTTTTATATTAGCAAATGTTAATGAAATAAATGCTCATTATATGCGTTGAATTTTAACAAAAGTAATGAGTAGCTCACATCCAGCCACCGTCCAGGACCAGTAGGGACATATAGAACCCTTCAGGGCAAACCATGCCCACATTTAAGATTAGACTGTCCACTCTTTTCCGGTTACTGGCTTCATCTTCTTCATTTATCTGCCCACCTGGCTTCCAGATCCCCATTTGTTTAATCTTAGAAAAACCATTTTCCCTTTTACATCTCACTTAGTGAATTATAATGATGATTAATTTATGTACAAAACTTAGTTTTATGTATTATTTGGTTAACATTAAGCCTAGACTAAAAGATCACAAATGAAATTTTTTACCACTTCCAAACACATGTTGAATTAAAAAAAAAAGTAAATGAGCAATAAAGTTAATGGAACTTCCTGCAGAAGAATGGTAATATCAATATTTTCACTGAGCACACATACCAGAAAGAAAGAATGGGGAAGGAACTCATTACAGACACATGAGTTCTGTCAGAAGGGGCCCTGTGGGAGCCTGATTCTTATTACAAGGTCCTGGTTGGAAGGGAATGAAGTGGGGTTATTGCTGTGCAGTCAATGACTTGGTTTTTCTCTAGTGAATTGGCTCCACTAGGCAATGTTATTTCTCCACTTTAGGCAGCTGGAAATATGTATTCATTCATTTCCTTTTCATTTGAGGGTCAGTTCTGTCAAAGATGGAGCCATTTCTAGAAATGCTGTATTTGCTAGATACGAGTAAATGCTTTAGTGTCTTTCGTTTGGTCTGAATATTCCTAAGATTTTTAGGAGACAAATAAAGTTCAGTTCAATGAGATGGAAAACATACTTTGAATGTGTGTATATGCATATCACTATTCTTTCAGCTAAGTCTACCCTTAAAACCTGAAGCACTTTTATAAAAATCTTTTGTTTTAGAGGTAAGCCATCGGGGAATTTTGGTCCAAGGATGTGTGTGATTGCAGAATTATTTTTGAAAGTTAAATACTAATTTAAGTAGAAAAGAACCAGATGGTATTCTTCTTAAGATTTTAATTTTGTTTTACATGTTGTCTCACTGTAAATTAGTTTTTGTAACATAATTATTTTTTGTTTTGCTCTTTCGGACAATTTTTATTATGATTTTTGGCTTAATTATTTCTTAGCAATTATCTAATGAACTCATTTTATAGATGAGGAAATTGAGGCATAGAGAAATCAGGTGATGAGTCCTAAGTTTAATTAAAAATTACTAAAAGAATACCTTTAGTTATAGTACTTGAAATTCCTTCTTAATGTTAAACTCTAAGTCTTAGATCATTTTGAATATCATGCTATTAAATTTGCCTTCTGAGCTTTATAATAGTGAGATATTTAAGATAATTGATTTTTCCCCTCTTTTATTTTAATACAGATATAAGACACATGAAAAATAGCTGATAAAGACTTAAAAGTCTTTTAGTTTCTTAATATTCTTAGATTTGTGGTAAATTAAAATAAATTACTTAAAAACATAACCACATACTCTTTTAAAGATTAATTTAGATTTTTTTATGAGCAATGTAAAGCAATTGATAGCCATCATTTCTCTTAACAGGTTGAAGAAATATGGATACCAACACCAAACTGGTCTTCAGTACTGTTTTTGCCAGCTTTTTCACCTTTCAGCTTCTTTTCCACTTTATAAGTTATTGGTTTTCAGCAAAAGTTTCTCCAGGTTTTAATAGTCTCAGCTTTGAAAAGAAGATTGAATGGAACTCAAGGTAAAGCATATGAAAATGTAATTGATTTTTAAAAAGTTAGTTTTATGAAATAAAATTCTTTGAAATATTTCCAAAAACAGTCTTTTCATTTAAGATCTAACAAAATTTAAGGTCAGATTTTTTTAAGTTTATTTATTTATTTTGAGAGAGAGACTGAGCATCTGCGTGCGCAGGAGAGGGGCAGAGAAAGAGAGAGAGAGAGAGAGGGTGAGAGAGAGAGAATCCCAAGCAGGCTCCATGCTGCCAGCACAGGGCCCGACTTGGGCCTCAAACTCAGGAACTGTGAGATTGTGACCTGAGCGGGTATCAGGAGTGGGATGTTTAATTGACTGAGCCGTTCAGGTGCCCCTAAGGTCAGGTTTTTTTAATTTGACTTTAGGATTAAAAAGGAAACTAAGTAGATAAATCTTGTATGAGAAAATTCTAAAAATCTTATATTGAAAGATGTTAGGAAAAATCGAACTTTCTGGGGGAAGTATGGGAAGGTTAAGTAGACTTCAGCTGATTGCAGAAAAGTCCTGTTTTACATTATTCTCTGAAGCATTTATGATAACAAAACACGTGCTCTTTGGAGATGATAACCTAAGGAAATGTTAGTTAGGGCTGTGAGCAGCCTGTGTATCAAGTTGGCTGGCTTAGCCAGACTGGGGGCTGCTATGCAGCACACCGGAGGACGTGGTATATGGGTAGCACATCTGTGTCTCTCTTGTAATGAACTTCTCATCATAATTCAGAGCCCACCAGAATCGATTCTTTTGCTAAAGTAAAAATTGCTTTTTGGATTTTTTTTTAAACAAAAATAAATGGAAAACGAGTTGTCCATGTAAGCGTATAGAAACCTGCAGGAGTTTTAATTTGTTGGTTTACAGTTTTTTTGTGTGTGCATCTCCTTAATCTTTCACCACATTTCAAACACAAAATGACTCTGATGACTGCTTCATGTGCTTTAGAGCATTGTGCCTCCAAATCACTGGACATTTGTAAACTGCAGTGAATTGGAGCAGCTATGGGTGTATTTTGTTGTTGTTACTTACTTAAAGTTAATGCTAACTATAAAATGAATTCAGCAGGTCTCTAAAATCGCTATGATTATTTTTTGCTGAAATTTCCTTTTAGAATTAACTTCTGCCAAAGTCAAACTATTGATTTGAGAATGGTCACATTTGACCAGAGATTCCCGGTCTTTGAGCCAAATTGTTTTGTGGACATTCACTTTTATAACTCAGACTGTGAATAAGACTCGAGTTTCCTTCTGCACCTTAAAGTAATTTGTCCAGTTCATACATGCTGTAGTTCTTTTTACCCCAAAAGTGAGAATTATTTCTCTCTGTATTTTCGAAAAATAAGAAGTAGGATTTTTTTTTTTGTCTTAAGAATAGCGCAAAGTTGCTGTTCAAAATGTGGAATACAAAATATAATAACCGTTATTTTAAAAAACTCTTTCTAACCTGGAGAGAGGTAGACTAGGGAAAGAGAAGGAAGGGTCCAGGGGCTAGGCTGGGAGACCAGATTTTCTGAGTGTCAGTTTTGAACTGGTTTTCATTTCCTTTTCAGCATGGTTAGGGTAGGAAAGGGCACTTGGATCTTGGAGAGCAGCAAGCAAGAAATAGGGATGATACAGAGAGAGAGGCAAAGATGGAAGTGGAATGAAACGAAATTGAAAAATACTTTGCATTATTCAGTCTTATCACTGCCATTCTATGATGCGTGGAATCACCATTTGGGAAACTGAGTTCCTATTGAAAAAGGAGGCTAGGAATATAGAAGATTCATTACTACTGAACTGGTGTTCTCTCTCTTTCTCTATCACGTTTACTCCTGTTCTCACTCCAGCTTGTTTTACATGAGACTTACGCTGTGATGTGGAGTGCAAAGAGAGGGAAAAAAAATTAGCTGCTTTTTGAGGAAAGCACAGGTATATGTCTTGAAATTCAGCTTCCAGTCTTAAAACACCAAGATCAATACAGCCCACATAAGTCTTACTAATAATCAGGAAAGCTTCTGAACTACTAGTCGCCTAAGCCATATGGTAGAAAAGGAAGGAAAAGAAACTCACCAGAAAATTCCCACCTGAGAGATACAGTTTAATTAATTATAAGTGATAAATTGCTATAATTCATTATTGCTTTTTTGGAAAATAAACATACTTGTAGGTATTATTCATATCTTATAATTAAAAAACATTTTCTTCTGGGGCGCCTGGGTGGCTTAGTCGGTTAAGCGTCCGACTTTCACTTGGGTCATGATCTCACGGTTCGTGGGTTCGAGCCCCGCGTCGGGCTCTGTGCTGACTGCCAGCTCAGAGCCTGGAGCCTGTTTCAGATTCTGTGACTCCCTCTCTCTCTGACCCTCCCCTGCTCACGCTGTTTCTCTCTCCTAGAAATAAATAAATAAAACAAAAAATTAAAAAAAAAAAATTTTCTTCTATCCACTTGTTTTCCTGTGGTGTAGAAAACCCAATGTTTTGAGTGTGTTGAAATACTCCTAATTTTGAAGTCTACTTCTCTAATTTTTAACTCTTGTCAATTTTAGCTAAATAATTTCTCTTGGTAATACTCCTGCTACTTGTGAATGATTAAATCAGTGCCTTTAAATTGCTGTTCTACAATGGTCATTATTTCGGTTATTTCACTGTCTTTTCTTTAGCACAAACATTTCTTTTTAACCTTTGAAAAACAAGGATTTTCTTTTGTGTAGAATTTTGGTGTTTTATTTTAGACAGGAATCTACATCTTGCTTTGCTAGGAATCTGATTTTAAAGAATACACTATGAAATGTTTATGAACAGAAGTTTCTGAATGTATGGACTTTCAATGCAGCAGGCAGTGTGTAAGCACAGGGTATTTGCTTTTCCTGCTCATTGTAGTGGGAGGTTTGTTTGACCCAAGTAAGTTTTAACTTTTCTCTCATGAATTATATGCCATTTCCACCAGCTAAGTGTTTGTAATCCTTCCCATTTACCATGTAACATTTCAACACAAAAGGGAATTTGAGGGCTAAGTGTCAGGAACAAAAAGTTGTCATTTTTCCAAGGGGAAACTTTCTGATCTAAGTTTACTAAACACTAGAGCAAGTTAGTAAGAGGTTGTGCTTTCTCCTTTCCTAGAAGTTTTGAATGGCAATAGAATGTTGGTTGTATGATTATTTAAATGGAGTGTTTTATTTGATATAAAGGAACTTAAATGTGTTTGGAATGAGAATTCCAGACTTGTAAACCAGATAAACTGAGTTAGTTATTCAAACTTCAAAATGATCCTTTGGTATTACAAGGGATTATCTGCCAGTGCCTTTAAATGAGTGAGGATTTTGGGGCATTTAAATATGATTTGATTTAGCATGATATATCTACCTAGGACCACGTTATCTGTAAGATCAAGCACATTGATTTTTCAAGTTACAGTCAACTTTTCTGATATCAAGCTTTATATTAGTTGATCTATTTAACTGTTAAAGATTTGGGGTCATATTTTAGACAGAAGTTTATTGTACCCCATTAGTTTCTAAAGAGAAAATTTTGCTGTTCCTTTTGTCCTTTATTCCAATGAAGAGAAAAGAAGCTTCTTTACTTGTCAACCTTTTCATTATGTGAATAAATATACTGCAACCTGTGTACAGTTCTGTATCATATCCTAGAGCTTGGTATAGGTTGAATCATTAAATTATTAGCAAGATATCGTCATAGAAACTGATGTTTTTCATCTCAATCTTATTCCTTCTATAAAAGAAAATTCAGCCTGGATTTCATGAACATTTTGCTTTCACTTGAGCATTTCTTTTAAAAATAGATTTTCTGTATAAATTCATGGTCCCCAATTTTTCTATTTAGAAGTGGTTTCATAATAATGACAAAGAGGGACTAATAATAGCTGTTCTAGCTTTCTCACGGATTGGTTATAGGAATCAAGTACAGCAATGCATGTGAATGTGCATTAACCCTGAAATCTCCAAGGTAGTAAGTTTTCATTTCATGATCCATTCGAATCCTGATTCACGGATATGGAATTGGTTAAGGCCAGTAGATTTGGAAGCTATTCCTAACTGATTGGAACAGGAAACTTAATGGCACAGCAATGCTGTTGGTGCTGGAGCTTACAGTTGGGTGCTGGGTAGTGGGCTTACCAGTTGCCATCTGTCTGCACAAAACTCTGTCAGCTGCATCATCAGATACACGTCTGCTTTGGAACTTTTAACTAATAAGTGATTCCACAGTCTTCTAGCAGGAAATTGTAGACCTGGGTAACCTGCTTGTTATTAATTCCAAAGTAAAGTTATAGCCCTTGGATTTCTAAGTGGCAATTTTGTTACACTCTTAGAGCTACTTCATTCCTATATTTAAATGCTTCCCAGATTTCACTTCTTCAAATGTTAAATGTCTTGCCAGTTTTAAGTTTATTGCAAAGAATCTAAAATCTTTGTATTTTTGTTTCTTTTCAGGGTTGTATCTACATGCCATTCTTTGGTGGTTGGGGTTTTTGGCCTCTACATTTTCTTTTTTGATGAGGCTACAAGAGCCGATCCACTTTGGTAAGCTGTTTCTTTCCAGTATAGTCTATTTGATTTATGTTTTGATCTTAATTATTAATAAGAACATTTCTTACTTTAAAACGGAAAATGTATTGATAGTGCATGGTTTATTAAAATGCTTGTGCCCAGACTTCTTGCTTGTGCCCAAACTTCTTTTAGCAAGGTGCAATAAAATGATTCATTTTAGATTTGAATGCAAATAATGAGGGCCACTTTGTGCTAGTATTTGCAGTTGTTATCCAAGGCAGAGAATATGATGATAATGATATAAATGTTTATACTGATTTAGGGAGTAAAAACAAGTTATTGTTACCACTGTTCTGCTCAAAACTGAGTTGCTATTGAGATAGGGTAGTCAACTGGGATAATATCTACTAATGACTCAGTTTTGTGTTTGACCCACCATTTGATACCAAAGGTTTAAAAGGAAAATCATTCACATCCATGTGAGAGGATTTTAGTACCACATGAGAAGATTCGAAGCACTAGCAGTAACTGTGTTCAGCAATAATAGGATAATTTGTAGGATTCTTTTTGAAAAAAAAAAAAAAATAAATGTTGTTGCAATGGCAGAGATATATTGCAAACTATTCTTCTGGCATTAGAGGAGAAGGCTTAGTTCAGCTTGAAGGATGAAGTGTATTTTGAGAAAGCATTACCTGGGGACGCAGTAGATGTGGGCCTGGGGGATGTGGGATGACTTAACTTCTGACTCTGTTTGGCTGCAACAATGTAATTTTAGTAAATATGGCATTATGCCCATCAGAATTATACCAGTATTGATAAATTTTCACTGGGAAGGTATTTTTCAGTGAATCAACTTAGTGAATTAATTCCATGATGAGGTTTTTATGTAATCTACCTAAACAGTTTCTAAGGTTTTTTTTTTCATAACTCTATTATAGTAATATTGTCAACAGAACCAGTTCTTTTGCGAGATAAATGGTATGACAAAGATTTGATTCACTGATCAATTTTCGTCCTTATCAAACGTTTACCTTGTGGAGTTTTTGATATTTTCACATTTTCTTTAATGCTGTAGTTTATTCCGGGTTCAGTTTTCCTGAGCCATGTTTGCAGCTCAAAATTTGTAAAGACAGGACGTCTAACTTTTAATTTGTATTTCAGTTTAATTTTGTGTTCATTTCACCAACACTTCATATTATAAGTCGGTTAAAAGACTAATAATTCATATTTGTTTCCACCATGATTATTAGGGAAAATTGTCAGACCTTGATATGTATTGGTGTCGAAACAGCAGGATTAAGCTGTCTTGTTTTGACCATTTTCCAATTGTGTGATAAGAGGTCAGTCTCTCCAGTCATCAGCAAAGTGATACCTATAATAGTATATTATTTCAAGATCGGGGCAGGCTAGATAATTTCTTGAAGTATTTGAGTCTCTGATTTAGAATAAGGAATCAAAAACATCAGCATCTGGAATTCTGTTTGAATCCTTTCACAAACAAATCATATGAGAACACATTTAAAAAGTTATCTTTTGGTAAAACTGTTGATATAAAACTTTCAGCTTCTGTAAGAAATTATGATCATTCATGCAGTTAGAAGTATATCACAGTTAACACAGGGCCTTGTGCAAATGACAATTCACCATTCAAAAATCTATAGGAAACATTTTAATTATACTCAGTAGAAAAAAAAATGTAGCTGTCATCTATAACCATGTGCTAAAAAAGGAATCTTTTTTTTTTTTTTTAATATTTATAGGGGTGATTCATCGGTTGTGAAAGTGAATATCTCTATTGCTTCAGGCTACCTCATTTCTGGTATGTGATATGTTGATCACTGTTTCTTTTTAAACTACTCATGGAATTTTGCAAAGAATACATAGTCTATGCTTTTGGTTTAATTATTTTAGAAATAGCTTATAGGACTCATACACAGGACAAGAAAATATCTGCTGTGATGGTGGAACATGAAACATTTTTCCTATTGGCTCTCTGGTTCTCTTTGAAGATAGAGCTGCAGAGTGGGGCCTCAGTTAAGCTTGGATATTTTGTTTTAGTAGTGATGGTCCATTTTTGGCTTAAAGAGTCTCTTAGGTGGAATTCCTGGGAAACTCATAAAGCTAAACATTAAAGTCTCACTTGCAAGGGCCCTTGAAATGTGTTCCTATGCTCCTGGTTTGTAGTGTTTGGGTAAAGTTTGCAAAGGGAAACTTTTAGCCACAATCAGTTAAGATCAAGAGCTCTTCCTACACCTTGTTTCCTTCTGTCATAGTTCCCCTTATGTGGGATGAGGTTGGAATAGCCTTTTACACTATGAGACAAAGGGGGAAATTAAGTCAGGATATGCCATTTAAACTTTTTGAAAAGACATTGTAGACCATCTCAAGACAGAAGAAAGAACAGATCCCTGATTTGGACATTGTATAGAGAGTCCTATTTCATAATTTTCAAATTAAATAAATTGCTGACAGAAAATCCAAATAAAAATAAGGGGATATGAAACAAAAGTGATAAAGATGAGTGATTGGACTCAGTAGAAAATTTTCTGCCATCAAGAGGTGAATAGTAGTAAAAAGATTAGATGATACCCAAACACAGTTATTCATTAGGAGGAAGAGATAAATTTTGAATTAAAATAATGAGTAGGCTATTGGGTTATTTGATGGCCCAGTTAAAAGAAGAGTGAATCATGTGATTCACTGGAAAAAGATTTGCTTGTTTGGCACAAAATGTGCCATCATTGACAAGGATGACAGTTACAAAATTTATTATCCGTATGCCTCATGCACTGGTTGACGAGTGTTGTCAGTTTGTAGAGTGATCACTACCCAGAAAGTCTCATATGAAAGAAACTTGATAAAGTTTTCCCCAAATAACAGCATGATTTGAAGCACTTAAAAATAAGAATTATGAACTGAAACAAACTTCTATAAACCAAGCTGAACGAAAAGTGAACTCTATGGAAAATTTGCAAGGTCATTATCATATAAATTGGTGACCAAAGAGAATACAGTCAAAACATGTAGAGAAGATGTATCCAGAGAGGCATGTCATGCAGTTAATTACTAACATGATTTGCACATTTGTATTGTTTGTTTTCTCTTTAAAATTTCTAATCTGGTTTTTTATTTTTATAAATATTCACATCTAGTTTTCTATGAATATTCACATCAGTAATTTTTATTTTTTATAAAAGAAGGTCCCCATATTATATAAGCTCCAACCCCATGAAACCTGAATCCTCCTCTGGCTTCCATCGATGACAGTCATTTTTTCCATGTCTAAACTTCATGTTTAACCATTTGGTAAAGAAAATAATTGCAGTAACATTTTGAGAAGTTTCTGTTTTGTTAAAGAAAACCATTTTCTGAATCATGGTGTTTAGGTTCAGGATCTTTTAAAAAGAACTTGATGCCTTGATATATCTTTCTTTGCATATCTTTTTAATAGTCCTAGTTCTTGTTTTGTTTTTTTCCTTTTTTTTTCTTTTGCTATTTTGAATTAATATTTAATCACATCCTTTGTTAATTTTTAAATGTTTGTTGAATTTGTCTGATAGGTTGGTCATTATATACTTTTCTTCAGCCAGCTTACCTGTTTAAATTGGTGTAGTAACAAACATCAGTAATTTAAGCTTACTTAAAAGTTGGTTTTGTCCAATAGTATTTCTGTTTTATTTAACCCCAGAAACAAGTTATTCATTTATACTTGCAGCAAATCTATTACCTGTGAATATATTCAGCAAATGTATATTAAATACATGGGCACTGTGTTAGCCTCCCACACTTGTTCTTCATCCTGGAGAAGTCACAGTAGAGCAGGGGAGACAGTTGTGAGGAAGCAGATACTTTACCCAGAAGCGGGTACTGTGACTGGTGCGGTATGAACAAAGTGAAGTGGGCTCAGTGTGGACTGCGGCCGGTTGTCAGGAAGACAGAGTTAAATACACTTGGAAAACAACGCAGCCTTCTTCCTCTGTGGTATCTCACTTATTTTCCCTTCTTTCAGATTTGCTGATTCTCATTTTGTATTGGAAAGTGGTTGGTGACAAATACTTTATAATCCATCATTGCACAGCGCTGTACGCATACTGGATTTTACTGGTGAGTGCCAGGTCTACGGTAGCCTGACAAGTAGACAGGAGCGGGAGTAATGACGTACTGGTGAACAGAAACCTAAACACCAGTTCCCAGGGTGTCAAGACCACCTCCAGATGCATTCGCAGCTCATGCTTGTGATAGGTTATCTTGCTCATTATCAAAAATAATTACATGTGTGTTTGTATTAGTGTGTCCATTTGGGTTCCTAAAATTTAAGAAAGGCAGATGACTCCAATTTCTCCAATTTTCACTTAAGACTTTTAGGATCGTGTAGCTATTGGTATTTGCCTGTTTTTCTAGATGCGATTATGACTTAACAGCCAGAGCTGGGAATAGATTCTTGTATAACTAGCTACAGTCTTTCTTCTCCACTGAATTCCCATACAGTTACATGTATGTATGTAATTACATGTTAAGTAGGCTGGGGCAGTGGGGCAGTCTTGCTCAGAAACATCATCAGAATTCCAAAACCAAGCTGATAGAGGATACTCACAGCAAATCTCAGGCAGTAATGCATATTAAATTTTAGATCTAAAATTATTTTTCTCCATTACACATTTCTAAATTAGCAGTTTTCTATCCCTTTTATCTTAGATAGGTTTCTTCATAATCCGTTGTTTTTCAGTCAATCTAGGTATACCAACAAGCCCCAAATAGATATTTGGAAATAATAGATATACATCAACCAGAATAGTATAAATTTTATGTAATAGTTATGGTATGCCATTTCATGTTTTCTCCTTTTTAAAACTTAAATGAAGCCACTGGTGGTTTTTTTTCTTATTTTATTCTTATATTAACAGACATCTGTGACTATTTGGAGGGTTTTAAAAATTAATGTGTATTAATATTCTTCCGTTTTTCTTTATATTGGCCCACACAAAGAGAGCTGGTGAATAAGATGTCAGTTTGGCATTATTTCTGCAAGAACCAGATATATCAAAATATCTCTCTGTATCACACACTTGAAGTAATAAATCTAAATAGTTAATATGAATATTTAAAAAAAAAACTATGCTGGCTTTAATGCTATAATAAGTGCTTATGTATACCCAAAAGGTATTCTTAATCACCTTGTTTTTCTGAAGCAATATTTTTAGCTGGCATTTCCTACTGTTTGTCTTCTTTTTAGATTTTAATTGATGATAGGTAGTTATAAAATATAGACTCTTAACCTTTTACAGGTCTTAAATATTTTTGATGTACAAGCACTTGTTTCCTAAACCCTTGCTAAAAACCATGAAAGCTGACTAACAAAATACTGGTTAAATCTGGGAAGACTGTGTGGGAGCCCATGTGAGTTTAATATCCTGCTGCAGTGTAGAAGTATGGTCTCTGAACATGAGTCACAGATAACCATTGTGCTATGAAAAGAATGTAAGCTGTTGAAAGATAACAGGTCACTTACATGGATTTGTAAATGTGAAGACTATGAGCTGCTATTGTGTCTTGGCCACTGAATCACAGGCTTGGCCAATGGCTAGCTGTGCCTGCCTTGGTAAGTTGAGTATTTAATTATGTGGGATGAATAATGTTTTGGACTTTTAGGCCTTTATAAAGAAAAATCAATAAAGTGCATGCTGGATTTTTGTTAAGAAAAGAAATTAACTATTTAGTTAAGGTGATCAGAAAATCAACTGCAGTGTTTTCTAGAGGTGATTGTTTTTTTGATGTCTTCCTGTGTTCTACTGCATGAAATAAATGAATGGTATGAAGTAAGTCTATCTAATTAAAGTGCGTCTGTTCATAGGGAAACAGAAAAAAGTTAGAAACTAATAAATGTAGATGTAGCAATCTTTTGTCGTTTCTAGATTTTACATTTCCTGTTTGACCATAATGAATTCCCAGGTCACTTTGTACAATTTAACGAAGGCTAACAAAATAACTACTACTACTACTACTATTATTTTGTATAAACTTTTATGAAATTCTTCACTTCTGTGATGAGAACTGATATTTGGCAAGTACTTTGACTTGATATGTATGAGATTATTTAAGCTGTTTGTAGTAACTTAAAAGATTTTCTGATTGTAACTAAATAAAAAAGGTGAAAAATGGAGGCAAGTTATCCGTAGGTTTTAAACGTATGCTCTATTGAATAGTTGAAAAGTAAGATTCTTCTAGATTTAGGTTATGAAATAAGTTATAGGTAGGTTATATAATGTCTTGATCACTTATTTTTTTAAACCTCTCTTTAGTATATTTACTGGCATTTTAAAATTCTCTGGGGGAATAAATTAGAGCTTAAGGAATCTTCTGTCTATATAAAAAGGTAAAAATCCTACAGGTTTTCCCTAATATTCAGCTCTTCACCCCTCGGTCAGGATACTAATTATCAAGGAAAATAGGACAGGGTAATCTTTTATCGTAAAGGATGTGAACACATTTATGCTTTAAGGTCTCTTTTTAAGGATAAACCACTGTCTTTTGTACTCCCATTGTGACCTCTCTGGTAGCCTTAGTTTTCTTCTGTGTTTCTTGTGAATCACTCTCTCTCCCTGGTCAAACCACACCTTTAGATAACAAGTTATATAACACTTGAAAACCATTTAAATTTGAAAAGAAAAGCACTCCTGTACAGACTTTTCCCAACTCTTCTGCATGGTTATGTTACCCTGGAGTCTAATTATGACACCATTCAGCAGCATTTTAGGAAGAAAATTTGGTTTCAGAGGCTCTCGGTATGTGTACTTAAGGGTATCAGGTGCTGTGTGAATACCTTGAAGGTGCTTGTTTAATGCTTGGCCCCAGTGTCCGCATTTTAAAAACACTTTGCAAGGAGGTATGTCGGAAGTGGTGTTGAAAAATGTAAGACGTGTTATGCAGATACAGTAAAGTTGTAATATATATCAGGAGACACGAATTAGGAAAACATTTGTCTTAGGTTTAGTCTAAGGAATTTCCACAAAACAATGCAACAAATACCTTGACTCACTAACAGTTTATCATTAACAGTGTTAAACTGTTTAAATGTTTTAAGATGGTTTGAATGGTGTTGCCTATTCCCAGTTATGCATAAATAATGTATTTCCTCCTTTTCTCCCATTAAGATAGTCTTAAAGAAGAATTTTTGGTAGCTATCATGACTGTTATAGCATTTTAAGAGTAATAAAATTTCAAAAATTAACACTTTTGTTGACTAGGTAAGTATCAAAATAGCCACCTAATACAGCTAACTAAAAGAAGATTCAGCAGTAAGATCTGTGTGATTTCTATTTCCTACTAAATTTGCACAAGATAAAACATGATGGAGCACCTGAGTGGCACATTCAGTTAAGTGTCCAGTTCTTGGTTTCAGCTCTGGTCATAATCTCCCAGTTAGTGGGATCAAGCCCTACTTCCGGCTCTGCACTAACAGCAAGGATCCTGCTTGGGATTCTTTCTCTCCCTCTTCTCTGTCCCTTCCCCATGCGCACGCTCTCAAAATAAATAAACGTAAAAACATATTAAATATTTAAATCAAAGAAAATATTTTAAAAACTGGAATAACATGTTAACCTTTTTTCTACTGAAATAAAATTGTCAAAACATTGTCATCTTCTACTGTAAGACTAGCAGAAGTCTTAAAAATTGTTTTATTATTATTTCTATAGCTTATTCGAATCTGCATGTGACCATAGTTATACAATGAGATTATAACTAGTACTACTAATTGAGGGATTTAGTCGTGGTAAAAATGTTAAGTGGCCATTTAAAAAATATGTGTTATATATGTATGTGCGTATATGTAAAGACATGTACATATGTGGGGGTGAAAGCAAATGTGTTTGGGTTTTGGAATTTGTTTTTTTAATGTTTGTTTGTTTTTGAGGGGAGGGGGGATGGGCAGAGAGAGAGAGAGAGAAAGAATCCTAAGCAGGCTCTTCACCACCAGTGCAGAGCCTGATGTGGGGCTTGATCTTACAAACTGTGAGATCATGATCCTAGCCAAAATCGGATGTCAGACGCTGGACTGACTGAGCTACACCGGTGCCCCTAATAGTTACTTTTTATTGTAGAATACCTGATGTCACCTTTCCCCAAATTTCATGAATATAACAAGCTTCCTTAAGGCCTTCCTCGGTTTTGGTTTAGGAAGAGTTCAAGGCTACCTTTTCCTTCCTTGTTCAGTGGTTGCTGCTTCATTCTTTTTGGGAGTGGAAAAGCATCCCGTCAGATTTGCATAGTTGGATCATTTTAGCTGAACTGTCTCCCTTTCTTTCTCTAACATGGCTTGGCTTTTGAAGCCTGTTTCCTTTCAATACCAGGAAAGGAAATAGTTCAGATATTGGATGTCCGTGTAAAGATAAAATAGACGTCAGCCAAGAGGATTGCCATGTCTACCCAGGTCAATATTTCATTCTTAATTAGATTTTTAGATTTTTATTTATTTTTTTATAGCTTATGTGCAGTGAAGCTAGTGATTCTATTTCTTAATTAGATTAAAATACAATATTATCCTATGATTCTCCTCGTACGATGTGCTAGAACAGTCGAATCCTCGGACACAGAAAATAGGATAGTTACTGGGGGCTACGTGGAGGAGGTATTGTAACGTTACTGTTGAATGGGGGAGTTTTATTTTGGGGTTATGAAAAGCTCTGGAGACAAACACTTAAAAGTAGTTAAAAGGGTGTAAATTTTATGTTATGTATATTTTACCATAGTAAAAAGTTTTTGTTTTTGTTTTGTTTGTTTTTAAACAAGCTTATCAAATGACTGAAACAAGGTTAGGAAGGGGAACTAATAATATTCTGGATGATGTATGACATTTTTAAAAAGTTTCAGGCTGGAGCAGTAGGCTGAAACAAATAGATGGAACCTAATAATGATAAATGTTGGGTTTTGCGGTTAGGTGTGACGATGTATCAGTGGGGAGGAATGATCTGGTGGTGATAAATGACCACAACTTCAGGTGGGCCAATAGCATGTCACATCTGCTTAAAAAGAAGGCTGTTTTCAAATTTAGACTCTATTAGGGGAGGCACAACATCCAATTCAAACAAAAATTACAGTTTTCCTGG